ATGAACAGGATATAAATATGAAAAACTATACAGAATATGAAATAAATAACTTTACAGAATCTGAGATATACAGCTATACAGAAATGGGAACTATGCAAGTTGTAAGCAGTTGTAGGATTAAAGATTATCGAATGTACAGAATGATTATTTACACAGCCTTGCAAGGAAGAGAGGATTTAGAATTTTAATGCCCGTGTAGTGTCTTCAGATAATTACAGAGGGCAGTTGACCATGAAATTCAACCCACCTTGTTATTCAGTGACATTTGAATTATTGGAATCGCTCACAGACTCATTGGTTGAAAAGGCCAGCCTCCTGCAGCATGTGTGTGTGTCTGTGTGTGAGCCTGTGTGCATTTTCTTGAACTTGTCTTCTTCTCAGAGCTAGCTTGAGTTTAAGGAGTGGGGATACTTTTCACAAGGTGAGGTCATTTTGGCTATTCTGTTGTTTTACCAAGGGGGCAGTTTACGGCCAGGGACTTAATTGAGCCAACAAAAGGTGCTTCTAAAGATAGCTACACAAGGGCAGAAAGGCATAAAGAAGTGTGTGTGGGTGTGCAGCTGTACGTCTAAATATTAATCATCAGCGATTTATCATTTTCGAACAAGGGTCTATGGAACTCACAGGGTGACTTTATGGTAAATAATATGATGTAATGTATTTTTTTTTCATATTTTGCTTACATACTGTACATCCCTGACTGCAACAAGATACCAAGTGTTTTCCAATCTGTGTATGAGCTCTTGCCTCCACTAATATCCGAAGCCCTCTGTATCCAAACAATATTTCTGTTGACACAGTTGGGAATGCATATGCTCAGCAAAGCATTAACTAATGTAGGTACACATGCAATGACACACTGACTCTGAACATAAATAAACATAACATCGTTTTAGCATCAGTTTATGTGCTACAGCCTATTTACGTGGCTGACATGGTTTCTGAAATTATTAAAACGTCAAAATAGATTCTGACTCATATACGTCAGTCAGAATAACAACAAACCCAGAAGAGAAATCACTGCTATCTGCTTGAAGGAATAAGGTGCACAGAATATCCACTAACCAATGCAGTTTTGGTTCTCACTATTGTTTGCTGTCAACAGCAGGGGATACAGTGAGTTGTCCTGAGAAATAATCTTTGGTATATCCTGCACCTACTTGTTTTCAGGGCAGAGCTTTTCCACTGGAGCCCCTTTGTTTGTCTTTTCTTTCATGAGTAAAGTTACATGTAGAGATGATTGCCAGAGTCTGTAGACACCCAGACCCACAGAAAAGAATGCAAACAGAAAAGGGCCGAGGTATACGTCACAGTAGCTCAAAGCTTGTAGGTTTAAAATTGTAGCCAAATATTTACCTATGTCCTTTTATTTTTTAGGTTTATGATTAATTTTATAAACATTGCCATCTTTGCTGACTTCAAAATATCTGCATTAGTGCTGTGAAGTATTTTATTCAGGTATGTTACTAGATGTGTGTGGGATCCATTTGGGGTCTAGAGTAAAGGTCCCCTTGGGTCCACTTGGGTCTTGAGACCACAGAACAATAACTTTACAGCTTTATCGTATTCAAAAAGAAGAATAGGACAGGAGAAGGAATGTGCTGATGTTAAGGAATGTTATCTAACACTTCTGGATTAGTTCATATACGATAGAAATACAATACTGTGCAACAGTCTCAAGCTGCCCCTTAGTTATGCTGCAATAGACGTAGGCTGCCGGGGATTCCCATGATGCATTGAGTTTTTCCTTTCCAGTCACCTTCCTCACTCACTATGTGTTAACAGACCTCTCTGCATTGAATCATA